ATCTGCGCCAAAGAATCGACTCTGCATTGGATTTGACGTGCGGGGTTAGTGGTTCAGATGTTTTTGTGTGACAAAGCGGAATTGACTTTTACTGAATTTTGTTTCATTGTTTTTGTGTAGGCCGCATCGTTGTAAGACACCTTTTTTTGTTTATTCAGTAATTTTTTTTTTGTATTTATGACATGGCTTTGTGCATTTTATCCTCACGGTTTAATCGATTTTTTTTTAATTTTTCAATTTTTTATAAACTTCGAGAGAGTCAAGAGTTGAAATGTGTACTCAGGTATCCAATATGGAGTACACATATATTCCAAGTGCGTTCTCTTACGACCTAACTTTCCTCATGGACCTTAATGTCTTACTTATTACAGACTAAAAAAAGTGCCCTCAGGGTTAATGAGTGTAAGTTCGACAAATGCTCATCCTTTATGAATTCTATTCCTCGAGAACATTTCTTAGGTCTGACCATTCGATATAAAAAAAGACGCCAAGATAAATTTTATTCGTTTGGGAAGATATTACAGGTATAAAGGTCAGAGTACGAAAAAAAATCTGTCCTCGGTTTGAGTCCCGGTGAAGATGTATGTTTAGGGATAATTTTGTCCTATGATATTTAACTCTGAAAATTTTCCTTGTCTTAAGGAATAAGCATGCCAAGTTTAGCTGAAATCGGTTCATTCATATACACAGATCGAAACACCCATAATTTCGATACAAGAATGTTGTTACAAATATGATAATGTGACAGAATTGCAGATAACATAATTTTTTCTCAAAATTATAATTCTGATCGTGCTGTTACCTTGTAAAGGACTGTGCTCTGGAGCTGGTTAGTTAGTTAGTTATGAAGGGTTAGAAATTTAAGGTTTAAAACCATTATTTACCCTGCTCTTTGGATAAAGCTTGTTATTAAACATCGAAGTTCTTATACAGCTGCAAAAACTTTATATTGAATTCATGTTTATTCTTACATTTTTCGTGTTTGTCTATCTCAGAACGAGAGAAATGGAGTTTTCCGGATAGAATAGTTGCTAGCCACTTGGTGGTATCTTCAAACTACGGTTCCTTCCTGTAAACGCGAGACTTTGGCAAACAAACAAAAGTACACAGGTAAACATCTCTTGGAAGGAACACGGAACGAATTAATACCAAAAGCGAGGAAGTATAAATGAACACATAACTCCTCTGCTGTTCGTCAGTAATCTCTGCCATTCACCTTTTTATTAAAACTAATTCATTCGTTTGCGAATAAACCGTTAAAACGCAATGGTAACTATATGTACCATATAACGTCAAACAACACTTGGTTTTACCCACGGAGTTTAATAATGAATTGTGTATGATTGTAAATATAAACAGCGATTATTTCCTTAAACAGCGTTAACCATTTGATATTTGTAATGGTAAAGTGTGGTGTTTTCTTCGCGGTACGGACTGAATTCTTAAATATTATGTACGCAGCGCGTGTCTCATTATAAACAGCGATTATTTCCTTAAACAGCGTTAACCATTTGATATTTGTAATGGTAAAGTGTGGTGTTTTCTTCGCGGTACGGACTGAATTCTTAAATATTATGTACGCAGCGCGTGTCTCATTATAAACAGCGATTATTTCCTTAAACAGCGTTAACCATTTGATATTTGTAATGGTAAAGTGTGGTGTTTTCTTCGCGGTACGGACTGAATTCTTAAATATTATGTACGCAGCGCGTGTCTCATTATAAACAGCGATTATTTCCTTAAACAGCGTTAACCATTCGATCTTTTGTAATGGTGAAGTGTGGTGTTTTCTTTGCGGTACGGACTGGATTCTGAATGTTACTTAGATTAGCTTCGGATTTAAGGGATGAAAAACTGATATTGTGTTGATATGTGCAGAGTATGTAGTATTTTATGAATTTAGTGCGGACAGAAAAGAGTTGCATACATTCATTCATCTCTTTGAAAATCATTCTGAAAGTTAACTTTGAGAATCTTTGGCGGGAAGTTCGTGTAAGTGGTTGTACCTGAGCAGATTAAATCGTTGTAATGTTGCACGACGTCTAGTGCTAAAGGTTTTGTTGTGTTCGCTCTCGGCTTGTAGAAAGTTTAGAATTTATTATAACTGATTTTATCAAGCGTCTGGCATTATTTTTCGGTTTTAGAATAAAAATTATATACAGACTTTAGCCGAATACATTTTTTTGATTCCTAATAAAGAGTAACTTTTTCAAGCTGATGCGTGAACTGTTTTACATGAATTCCATACATCAATTTAATCTACGAATCAGAAACCTAGAAATCCGCCCCAATTCTTACGCATTGATAAAGATTTTAAATGCAATTAATCTCACCATATCAGTGGGCGAAAAGTGAAGAACCTCTGATTAAAACATGTTAATTTGGGTGTATAACGATCCTTTACAAAAGGCATTATTCAGTTGGAACTGATAAGAGAAATATTTGAAAGTCTATCCTTACATTTTATCGCCGCCAATACCAATTTCAGACTGAGCAATTTCACTTCAATTCACACCCACAGTGACGCAATCAATTGGATAGGAGACGGGGAAAAAATAGCACCTTATCTTTACGCACCACAAAGTTGAGCGTTTAGTAGAAATTTAGTTTTGAACGTGAAATTTCCAAAATCAAAATCACGGTTGAATTAACGTCAAAACAATGAGCAATCTGCCTGTATAATGAAACCGAAGCTCTTAGCAGACCGAGAACGGCTGTGGGTGGGGTGGGGGGTGTTTGTAACAGAGTAAATCGGGAAAACGTGAATCCGCGATAAAACATACCGAAAAGTTTTTTGTTTTTTTTTTTAAAAAGGGGGGGCACACTGGACAGAATGTGTTAGTCCCTTAAAGTCAGAGACCAAGTTTTATACCCGTCTGGAAATCTTTACAATTTATATTTTTAGGTACTAAATAAAGTATTTTCCAAGAGCTACTTTTTTTTCAATTTTTATCTTAATTGTGCCCACAATTTCAAAGTTGTATTCTTTCTTCTCCTCTGGTTCTCTGTAAACTGATTTAAAGTCGTTCATTGAGATAGTTGCCGGATCCGACGATCATTTCGATAATTTATGAAAACTTTTAAAAAGGGGGCAGACAGTGTCTGTCTCTGCCGCAATCAATATTCGAGCAAAGGAGCACAAAAAGAATTCAATAAACCATTCATCCCAACTACATAATCTCGTGGCTTCTTTATATTTTGAAGTCACTGGCTCACAAAGTAAGAATGTTATTCGTCGTTCTTTAATGTTATTTGATTATTTCGAATCAGCTATAAAATAACACTTCCATCTGTCATTCCGCACTAAAGGTATAGTTATAGATAACATTGATTCATGCCAAAGATATTGAAATGTAAATAGCATACCAGCGAGAAGTAATGACATAAACGTAATTTATTATGTGTGTGTTTGTGGTTTAAATGACAGTGGAGAATCGTGATTTTCCAGACGTAGAATTCCATCAGCATTAAACGTAAAAAAAAACCCACAGAAATTCACATTATCAAAATTCAACACATGCTTCTTTAAGGTCAATTTTAATAATATCCCCTCATTTAAAAACTCAAGAGGCCACATTCTCGCTGAGATTCTTGTCCAAAAAAATATATGTGCATTTATTTTTACGAATTTCTTCAGTTTACCTTATTTGGTTTTTTTAACCAAATTATTAATTAATTTCCTGATTGAGAATTAATTTTTTTTTAAAAAATTATGGCTAAAGAATATGTTAATTCACGAGGGATTTTCCGTCAATGTGACGTGTTTTCTACGTTTTTACAATATTTAATTTAAAACTGTTATGTATTAGGTGTAACATATCTTGAACATATTGTCAGTAAGGGTCTAAAATCAGGGAAATGCTGCTAATGCCATAATTTCATTTAAATTAACACTTACTGTGAGGGTTATAGTTACTCTTGAGTTTCAGGGCTGCGGTCTGCATGTCCGCACGCCAGTCGCCAAAGAAACTGGGGCACAGCCCCCCCTCGGCGTCCCGTCGCCATGCACATAGTCACATTAAACTTCAAGCGTCGTGCCTGCAGGCAGCCATTACATTTTTATTTTTTGAAGTAGAAACAGAATACGGTTAAAGTTTGAAATAAATTATGAACGTCCTGTTTTGTCTGTATCTTCAGTGTTGACGACAAAGCGATTCGCTTTTATTTTATTCAGTGGTAAAGTTGATATTATGGACAGAATACAATCATAGAGCTTGTTACGTTGAGTTTAGACAGGCGCAAAAGACCTTAAAATCTGACGCGCCTGTAAACCCACAAACACTCTTAACTTTACGTCGTACGTCTAGAACTTAAAGATTAAAACACTGGCGGGGAACCACTTCAAATCCCCGTTGTAATCCCCAATGCCCGCCAGTCCAGATAATCAAGAGTGACCGAAGGTCACGACGGGACGTAGGGAAGTCTTAATTAGTACAGTCTGAGGCAAAAACACTGTCCAGTAGCATAGCTGGGAATTGATATAAAGCAGTGGTATTCAACCTTTTTTGTTCGCGTACCCCCAGATATAATTTATCTTCAAATTTGTACCCCCAAAGTCGTTGGTGTGCAATTCAAGTTATAAATCGTATATAATCTACATCTAAAATAAATTAAATAAATTACATTACTGAATATTCAGTGTTTATCATAATATACATTTTTTTTAAATTTCACGTACCCCCTAAGATGTCTTCGCGTACCCGTGCGGCGTACCCCAGGTTGAATATCACTGATATCAAGTATAGGGTAGAGAAATAATGTTTGGCTGTTTAAAAATTTATTTCTGCTGAAAAGTTCTTAAGTAAGAAACTGCTTTTAACTGTTCAGTGGTTTTCGTCTAGGTCCGTGTACATTTAAAACATTTCTGTGAGCGCAAGGAAACATGAAAACTTCAAACTGGCATTGATGTAATGGCAACTATATTTAGGTGAGATTTTTCCCAGTAACTTGCCATTTGTGTCCGAAATGCAGTGTCTGAATGAATCCTGTTTCGTTTGTAGCAGGAGCTTGGTATGACAGGCATCGTCAACAGGACCCATGCTGTGTCCCCGTCGACGGTTGCGCAGGAAGTTACGTCACGTAGTGCGCTCCGTCGCCATGCTGTGTTGCGGCCGGAGAAAGGTATCGTACATACTTGCGCTTATTATATACAGGATGTCCCAAAAATTCCGCAGGTTAAAGTTTTTAGATTCAGTTTGTTCAATGTCTTCTTTTGAAACATTCTACAGAAAATTAAATATACACGTTCATAAACCTACTTAGTGTCTTTTGAATAAAAATTTTCTTGGATATTATCTATCGTATAGTAAATAAAATGTAAAACGACGTTTCATGTTTCTTTAAACATGAAAAAGCGAAATAAAAACAAACTCACAAAAATGTGGGAATAAATACATATGACCATTAATTTGTTTTATATTTTATTTACTAGACGATGGATAATATCCAAGAATTTTCTTTATTCAAATGACTCATCACCATCGTCAAGAACTTTTAGATTTGATCTACTTAGTGTCTATTGAAATAGTTTTGCGTGTATAACCGTCCGTCTACACATGGAGGAATTCTAGAAAACAGAAACTTATCTTGATTAAACTATGAATTGGAGACTTTTACGAAAATTCGTCAAGCCATTTTTAGCTTTGATGTAGATGATATAGTTTTGAAAATAATTTAAATATTTATTTGTTAAATTATATAAACTTAAATATAATTTCTTAAATGCAACTTTTAGTCATCTCAATTTAAATATTGCTTTACGTTAGTCTCCTCGGCCCCTCCAAACATTTATGGAACTTCCACTCTCGTCTGCTTATCATTCATAATTACCAGTTAAATAACCTACGTATTTTAAACATAATCGGTAGGTATATAAAGGTTGATGTCATCTGTAAGACGTGTAGTCTCGTAGAAATTGTCTGACGTTTCGGATGTACTTGCTGGTTCCATTATCAAGACGTTTAATGACGGCGTAACATCGCGGAAGGCAATTATAATCATCCTTTCAGTCTGAGAACGTAAAATCTCACCTAACTGTGAGACAGTACATTGGCTTTCCATGTGGTAAGCATCTCTTAGCTCGTTAGACGAGGCGCAGTGAACATATTAACATGCTTCCCCTAAACTTCGAAATGGCCACGTAAATTTCTCATTCTGACATTAGTCATTATTATTCTGGACTCGGAGTGACTGGTGGATAACCGAATAGACCGTTGGGGATGGATCCATTGAGGTAAAACCACGTAATCAAGGGAGATGAGGTTTTAGGGGCTGTCTGCGTGAACACCAGGCGACTTGGGGACAGGATTGAAGGAGGTCCTTGGTAGACGTGACAGTTGAATGCGAGGTTATAACGCGTTTAGTGAGTTAACGTAGAAAGATAATCACGATTAGTAATTAAATTTTTAAAATGTAGGTTTTATGGTGTTGTGGGTATCGTACCAAATTTTGTTAAAATTTGTCGTTTATTTCCAAATGTAAAAGGGGAGTGATCTCATGATATTACTTGCTTTTTCATATGAAATGGAAAGTTGGTTAAAATTGTTGGTAGTATTTTATTAAGAATGTAAGAGAATTGTAAGAAAACTGGAAGAATTATAGGCAATGACTTTTCGAGTTAACTGTTAAAGAATGTCAGACGTGGAGTGATTGTAGTTTATTTTGGGTTTTTATTAATTGTGAAGTGAACGAACTCTGCTAGCTTTGAGTGCTTAAAAAAATATTACAGTTGTATTATTAGAGGGAAAATTAATTTTGTTTGGAAAATGGTAAACTTTATTTTGATTTCCTCTGATAATCCGTGGACGAAGGACCTGGTAAATAACATCGAAAGCTAAAGAAACGTCAAAAGAAACACAAAAGAATTTTTTCTCCAGGACAGACTCAAAGTGGAATTCAATTAAAGGTACAGACTTAAAAACGAGGGCAAGAAGAGAATTTGTATTGTAACTTTTATCAGGGCGATGATGGAGGCAGCAAGGACCTCTGAAACGTCGATAAACTTCTACCAGACTATACGGTGCAGCAACCCAGAAGGCAGACGTTTTTAACTGAGAAAATGTTTTATTGAAATGTAGTCACGACGCCGGAAATGTTAGAACATTGTAAAAGGTTGGGTCTATCAGTGCATTATGTTGAATGTATTCGTATTGCCTGAAGGCACATCTGTGTTCGTATTCCTGGGACTAAGGTTTTACGTAAAGTTCTCTAATCGTGTGTATAAAATGTTCAGTTATATAATATATAGATCAGAGAAATATTTCGTTTTTTGCTATTTCTGAAATTGTATCAAATTAGCAACAGTTAATAGTGTAGTTTAATTAACCCTGGTGATTTTGTGCATTTCTCCAGATTCTGTAAAGTTTAGCTTAATCGCAGAAGTGTCATTTAGACTGTAGAGTTGTCTGATATTGTACACCCCAGTCACCAGGTCTGTATATCCATATCAGGGTGTGATACTTCGTACAAACATAACGCCAATCTCGTTAGAAGGTATTTTAGGCCGTTCGACCTACCATACGACTCAGAATCCTCTGATTTATAAATGTTACCAGTTTAAATTATGTTCAAGACAGTTATTTCATTGCTTGCGAAACTTAGGTTACATTTTCCTAATAAGAAATTACATTTAAAAACGATGTATTAATTTATACATTTCACAGATGCTTTTAATAATATTTACTTTATCATTCTTTGTGTTTGTTTATAATTGAAATGTTAAATTATCACTTTTTAGCTAAAAGGAATCATTATTAACGATCTATGAGTTTGTCTACGTTGATATTCTTGGTAATAACGCTGTGTGGACTTGTAGCTGAATGCCAACGTTTCTGAGGAACACACTGCTTTCATCGTCGGTACTGAAAACGAAGTAATTTCCCCGAAACCACCACTATTTCATAACACTGTACAAAACTAAGATTAGTTTATAATTTTACTGTCATCTACGCTTAGGTCTTGTCAATGTTTTCTTCAGTTTATGGTTTACGACAAAAAAAATTGTACTCATTTTTAATATTGTACTTTCAAACTGAATGCAACAACTATCTGCAGTTTTTATCAAGTCTCCTCACAGTTTGTGCTGATTTTAGACCAAATTTTCTCCTCAGCACCCTGTTCTCAAACTCATTGTTTAACGACGTACAAGAGATGACAATGTCGGACCCTGAACATTGTAACAGTAGGGCCGATGATGTACGAAAAATTGCCCACAGCATGTATGAAAAACTTAGTTTAATCTCGAGTGTAAGAGAATACACACTTTTGAACCTGCCTGCTCATATAACCTAAGCGTACTATTGATTATGACGTGGTTTCGTTAAAATTATTAACAATAGATTAATTATCTGAAGATTTTTTAAAAAATCTATTGTTTTAAAACTTTATATTCTGGTAAATTTTATAGGCATTTATCTTGTAGAACCTTGCGAATTGCGGTTTTAATAAAAAAAATGATATAAAAATGACTCTCTGTATGTACACGTAATTCAGTCTGAATTTGTGTGTAATTTGTGGAGAATAATACGCGCTGAATTGGGTGTTTAATGAAAGTTTAATAGGTTACGCATTGTATTACTAAACCAATAGCTTCTATGCTGAACACAAGAATGATGGCATTTGAAAAACACAAATATTAAAATTTAAAAAACTATAATTTTACCTGTTGTTTTATATGGGTGTGGAACCTGGTATCTTACCTTAAGGGAAGACCACAGATTAGGTATTTTTTTAGGACACGGTATTTAGGAGAACATTTGAACCTAAGAACGATTAAGTAAGAGGAGACTGGAGAAAATTACATAATGAGAAACTCCATAAGTTGTATTGTTCACTAAATATTATTAGGATTATTAAATAATGGAGTATGAGTACATAATTTTGTTTATAGAGCCTGAATGGACAAGACAACTCGTAAGACATAGGTATAGATGAGAGGATATTATTAAAATGGACGTTAGTGATACAGGTTTTGAAGAATGTGGATTGGATCGGATTTTGTTTTAAGAGTATTTAACTTTGGGTTCTTATGAGGACTTTTATGTCTGTTGAAGGGTCATAAATAAATTAGGAAAAGTCCTGTGTACCATGCAATTCGTAATTCAGCTGTTTAGAGGGAGGAGAAAGGAGACACGAAGGAACACGAGTAAGGAAATAAGAATGAAAGATAAATTACAGAAGGGAAAACAGAGAAAAGAATATGACGGAAATGGAAGTAGTTGAGTTGATGAAAATATGTAAAGGAAACGATAAATTAGGGAAGAATAAAAGAAGTAAATGAAGACAGATCGAAGTGAAGGCCGGGAGGAAGTGAACTTTGATAAATAAAAATGAGAGAGGAACTGAGAGTTGAGAAGATAAAGAATTCGGAACGCGAAGCGAGAGGATAAAGCAAGGAAGTTGATAATGATATGAACGCATCGCGTACTGAAACAGTTTCTGGCTTGTACTGAACTTAGGGTCATGTGATATGGGTTGTTTATTGCCATAAAAAAAAGTGTAGTCTAAATATGACAGCTGCACTTAATTTAATCTGCCTTTGCAGACAGGACGTGACTCTCTGTAGGCTAAAATGTGTCTGGAAGATCTAATATTAGCCTCTGCGTAGTCGTGGAATTGTACGGAATTATATTGCGTCTGTGCAGGTTAAAATTCCAGCCTTTTTTGACGTAAATACGTCTATAAGGAAGGCTCATTCGGCAAGAAAGTGTAACAAGTGTACCTAG